TGTGTTTCCCCAAACCCAAACTTTTGGCCAATGATTGCCTTCCTACCGGGGAAAAGGAAAGAAAAGGGTAATCCCAGGCTGGTCAGGCTCCCTCTGTTAAAAGAGTGATCTGCAAAACAAATTTCAGCAGCTAATACATAAAATGTAAAGATTTAAAAATTGAAGTCATTGAAAAATCAAAAAATATTTTATGAGCTGGGTTGGGGATAGGCTTTCAAGTCTTACAAGCAGTAGGAGAAATTATAAAAGATCAATACAGTTTGCTATATAGAACCATAAAACTATGTATATCAAAAGACTCAAACAATTTTAAGTCAAACTGATAAAAAAAGATATTTATGCCAATAAGAGAAAGAATTAATATCCTTAAAAGTAAAATCTTTAAAATTACAAAGCTCTTAATAGGTAACTATTAGTAGTATTTAGCAAATATTTATATAGTATTAAGGGAACTGAGGCACAGAAAAGCTAAATAACTGACTAGTAAAGGCTAGTACATGAAGGAGCTGGGATTTGAACCCAGGCTATCTGGCTCTAGGATCTGAATATAGCAGACACTTTTCTATACTAAACAGGAAAAAGATATTAAGCAAACAGTACACAAAAGAGGAAATACAAATATCTGAAAAACATAAGAATTATTTTTCAGTTTCAGTGGTAATCAAAGAAGTACAAATTAAACAGTGAAATACCATTTTTTGTCTTCAAATTAGGAAAGGTTTTTAAACATTATAATATTAATAAATACTGGCAATGCTAGAGTAAGGCAGAGACTCCACAGATTGCTGTAGGTATATTTAAGCAGCCTTTCTTAAAAGTATTCTGGCAGTATATATTAGAAGTCTCAAAAATGTCCATGCCCTTTGACCAGGAATTCCCATTCTGCAAATCTAATTTGAGAAAATAATTACAGATTTAGACAAATATTTATGCATAAAGATGTTCATAGCTATGTTAAGCAAAATGATGAAAATTAGAAACAACCTACATATCTGACAGTAGGGTAAGGTTAATCTCCATAGTGGACAATTAGGCAGCCATTATAAATACATTTGAATAACAATGCCATAAACAAGGTGGAGACCCACACCACAGTCTTCTCTGAGAAGACATTTGCAATGCATATAACAAAGAATTATATAAACAAAATAATATACAAAGGAAACTGATACACCAGTAAGTAAAACAACCAATAGCAAAACAGGCAAAGACTATGAATAGGCAATTCATAGAAGAGGCAATTTAAATGACTAATAAACATTAAATGGTAGTCCATCTCACTAGTAGTCTGGGAAATGCAAATTAATGAAATGTATTATCAGGATAGCAGAAGAGTCTAGTGGCAAAGATATAGGGAAACCCATAGCTGATGGGTATAAATGAGAGAAAAGCATTGGTGAGCTATTTGGCCATACCTAGTAAAGTTAACCATTTGATTCCCCAATGACTCACTTCCACTTCTAGGGATCAGCCCTGCACAAGCACCCATTTGTACAAGGAGACAGGTTCAAGGATGTTCATTGCAGTACTATTTGTAATAGTAGTAATAACGATGATAGTAATAACAATAAAACTGCCCATCAGAGGGGAAATGAAGTAAAACTTTGCTGAAGATAATTAAAAAACGATTGCAGCAGTACATCAACAGGGAACTGCCAGAAATTCAAGCTGGATTCAGAAGAGGCTGGGGAACAGGGGATATTGGTGATGTCAGATGGATCTTGGCTGAAAGCAGAGAATACCAGGAAAATGTTTACCTGTGTTTTATTGACTATGCAAAGGCACTTGCCTATGTGGATCGTAAAAAATCATGAATAATATTCCAAAGAATGGGAATTCCAGAACACTTATGAGGAGCCTGTACATAAACCAAGAGGCAGTCGTTTGAGCAGAACAAGGTGATACTGTGTGGTTTAAAGTAAAAAAAGGTGTGCGTCAGGGTTTTATCCTTTCACCATATTTATTCAATCTATATGCTGAGCAAATAATCTGAGAAGCTGGACTATATGAAGGAGAACTCGGCATCTGGATTGGAAGAAGACTCATTAACAACCTGCGATATGCAGATGACTCAGCCTTGCTTGCTGAAAGCAAAGAGGATTGAAGTACTTACTGATGAAGATCAAAGACTACAGCCTTCAGTATGGATTACACCTCAACATAAAGGAGACAAAAATCGTCACGACTGGACTAATGAGCAACATCATGATAAACGGAGAAAATATTGAAATTGTTAAGGATTTCGTTTTACTTGGATCCACAATTAATGCCCATGGAAACATCAGTCAAGAAATCAAATGACATGTTACACTGGGCAACTCTGCTGCAAAAGACCTCTTTGAAGTGTTAAAAAGCAAAGATGTCCCTTTGAGAACTAAGGTGTGCCTGACTCAAGCCATGGTATTTTCAGTCACCTCATATGCATGGGAAGACCAAAGAAGAATTGATGCCTTTGAATTATGGTGTTAGCAAAGAATATTGAATATACCATGGATAGCCAAAAGAACAGACAGATCTGTCTTGGAAGAAGTGCAGCCAGAATGCTCCTTAGAAGTGAGGATGGTGAGACTTTGTCTTATATACTTTGGACATGTTATCAGGAGGGACCAGTCTCTGGAGAAGGACATCATGCTGGTAAAGTAGAGGGTCAGCAAAAGAGAGGAAGACCCTCAATGAGATGGATTGATGCAGTGGTTGCAACAATGGGCTCAAGCATAGCAACAATTGTGAGGATGGCACCAGGACCAAGCAGTGTTTCATTCTGTTGGTTGCTGTGAGCTGGAACTGACTGGATGGCACCTAACAACAACAACATATACACAATAGAATACTATGTACAGTTAAAATAAGTGAACTAGATCTGTAAATATCATGTCAAATTTAAAAAACAATGCTGGATATAAAGAGCAAGTTGCAAAAAGGCACATGTTTGTGTGATACTATTTATGTAAATCTTTTAAACAAACTAAAAATATGGCATAGTATTTAAGAACACATGTAGAAAAATATAAGATAAGCATGCAAACAATATACAGCCTACTTTAAAACAGTGGTTACTTTGAGGAGGGATGGATGGATGGAAGTAGGTCTTAAACTGTATCTTTACAATTTCTTTATTTAGAAAAAGAGAAGAGTTGAAGCAAATACGGCAAAACGTTAACTAATGTTCTAAATTTGGCTGGGGTATGTGTCTTTCTGTTAAATTATTTTCTGTACTTTTCTACATAGTGATCTGTCTCAAAATTTCAAACAAATTTTTTTAATTTACTTTTTGAATAATTTGTAATTCCATGGAGAAATGTTTGTGTTATAATGTTAAGCGATAAAAGCAAGATACAAATACACACAAATATTTACAAGTTTGAAAAATTAAAGGTTTGAAGGCGATATCCAAAATATTCTTAATAGTGGGCACAATACTGGAAGTCTGCTTTTCTTTATACTTATCCACATTTTCCATTGTTATTATTATTTTTTGCCATGAAGATGTATTATTTTTATATCCAGAACAAAAGTTAAAAAACAACTACGGAAGGCAATAAAAAGATCAGTGGTTGCCAGAGGGTCAGTGGGAAGAGGAGGGATTAATAGGTGGCGCACAGGGCATTTTTAGGGCAGTGAAACTATTCTGTATGAGCTTGTAATGGTGGACACATGACATTGTGCGTTTGTCAAAAGCCGTAGAACTGTACAACAGAGAGTGAACCCTAATGTGAACTATGGACTTCAGTTAATAATAATGTATCAATATTTGTTCATCAGTTATAACAAATATATGATACTAATGCAAGATGTTAATAATAGGAGAGGGAGGGGGAGAGGGAGAGGGAGTTTATGGGAACTGTGTACTTTCTGTGCAGTTTTTCTGTAAACCTAAAACTACCCTAGGAAATAAAGTATTTAAAGAAAAAAAAAAATGCTGGGAAACAACAAAGCAACTACAGAAAACCTGAGTGCATTTAGACCCTAGCAAAGCTCCCAAAACCTGTAAACAGGTGATATGATAGGATGGAAACATCATGAGGTGTCAGACTGACCTGGGCTTGAACGCTGGCTTTGCCATTCTCCAACTGTGTGACTGAGTTTGTTCATTCTTCTATCTTTTAACAAACAATTATTGAGCACTGACTACACACCAGGCACTGTACTAGGCACTAGCAATACAGTGGTGTACAAAACATATGCAGCCGCTTCCCTCACAGAGCATATAGTCTGTGAGGAGGGGATGGTAAACCCATCACCACACAAATCATATACCATCACAAACTGTGAGGCCTCCTGGGTATAAAGGGTGATGATTAGGTGATCACAAGAATCTAATTTGGATTGGGTGGCTAGGGAATCTGGCCTCTGAGTGATACTTAAACTGGAATCAAAAGGATGAGGAGGTCTGGAGCCCCAGTAAGGTGAGGGCTTTGAGAGAAAGGAAGGCCCTACAGGGCATGTTTAGGATCTGAAAGAAGGCCAGGGCTGCTGGAGTGTAATGAGTGAGGCCAGCCAGGTGGTCTGGAGCCAGATCACTGGGAAATGCCTCCATCAGGGCAGTGGGAAGCCATTGAAGAGTTTTAAGCAGGGACGCGTGACATGATTTGCAATTGTAAAGGATCACTTTGATGCTGTTTGAAGATTGGAGTGGATGGGATACCAGTGGAGGATGTTGGCATGGCCCAGAGGAGAGAAAATAGTGTTCTGGATCATGGTGGTGGCTGGGAGATGGAGAGACATACAACGATTTGAGATATTTTTGGAGGCAGAGTCGGCAGATCTTGGTGATGGGTTATATGTGGAGGATGACTGTTAGGGGAGGGCCCTGGAGGACCGCAAGGTTTGGGGCATGAAGAGTTGTGGGTTAGTGAAATGGAAACACTGGAGCAAGAGCAGACTAGGGGGCAGGGGTGGAGCAGGGAGAGTGAGCGTGCCACCAGATCTCTCTGAGCTGTGCTTGCTTCATGTGTAAACTGAGGGTGAATGTTTCAGCCATGTTGTCCTCTCCTTCACAGGTGGGTCGTGCTACTCTTGGGGCTGGAACGAGCATGGAATGTGCGGGGACGGCACTGAAGCCAACATCTGGGCCCCCATGCCAGTGCAGGCTCTGCGGTCGTCACTGGGACTCCATGTGGGCTGTGGAGCTGGCCACTCCCTGGCCCTCTGCCAGCTGCCAGCGCTTCCTGCACTTGGCCAGGGCCTGAAGGTCATGGACCCTTTCCCAGATGCTACCGAAGACGCCGAATCTCAGGACAGTGGACAAAGAGAGAAACTAGAAGGAAAGACAATCAGAAACTTCAACCAGTCTGAGGGGTCCAGAAGTGGGGGACTTGTGACAGAGAGCATTTAATAAAGTGGTTTTTCCCACCAAACATTTCCCAGAGAATTGCCTTGCTGGGTTGTGGGGTTGGCCTGAGAAGGGTTCAGGAGGCCCTGGTGGTTGGGCTGACCACAGACCGCAAAGATGGGAGGCTGCTTGCCCAGTGTTCAGGGCTCAAGGAGACAGACACCCTTTCCACTCAGCAGATGAGAATGAGGGCTTAGGTTCTCCCCAAGGGACGTGGAAAGCTAAAACATCAGCAGGAATGTTCCAGCCTGTTCTGCTTGGTGGGATCAGAAAACCCAGTTCTGTCTCCAGTGGCTTTTTTGGTCCAGCAGTGTTGGATTCAGCAAGACAAAGGGTCCCTAGGCCATGCTTAGAGCAGCCACAAGCCTCTCCTGGAGTTTTATTCTCAGAGCTCAGAGCATGTAGTTTTCTGGTTTAAGAATATTGAGGGACCCTGTTCAGATGGCTTGGATACTTGGACAGGAAGGAGGTCTTGTCTTGATGACTAGGGCCAAGGGAGAAGGCTCTGGAGTGGGGGTGGAAGGAAGTGGAGATGAGTCAAGAGTTCTAGGAAGACCCAGCAGAGGAGACCCCTGGGACAGACCAAGGGGCTGAGAGCCACTGAAATTCTCAGAAGATTCGTGCCTTCATCTGAGCCTGGAAAAACTCTGGAACTAGCCTATGTACCTGTAATTGCCAAGCTCTGTGGGTTCAGATGAGGGTCAGAGGTCCTAAGGTCACAGCATGGGGAGGGGAGTCTGTAGGGTTAGCAACATCAAAGGCTAAGAGCTGGACCCCTGACATCTGCCCCCAGGCCCTGGCTTCTGTAGGAGGAGGGCCTTCAGGCGAGATGGGAACCAGATTGGATCCCAGCCCCTTGCTTCCTTGAGTTGCAGCTCTGGCTCTGGGGGTCACAGCATCTTTCTTGCTGCTGTGACTGGCAACAGGCCTTGGCCATAAGACCTCAAACAGGCATTTCTCCAGAGCAGAGTGTGGCAGTGTCACCAGGTAGCCAGTCAGGTCCATGGTCCATCCCACACTGTCTTTGTGACTCAGAAGAGGGTGTGGGTCTGTGAGGGCTAGGCTCCACTGGCTCTAAGAAAAATTACAAAATCCCGGGGCAGCAAAGCCGGGATGTCCTTTCATGACTAGCCCAGTGGCCTTCCAACTGCCTTCTTTAGCGTCCTAGGATTCTTCTGAGAACTCAGTGGCCACCTGGTAAAGGAAGGCCAACTAGACAGGCCCAGAGCCCCTGTCTTCCATCTTAGCCAAAGCAGCTTTATTTTCATGTGTGTTATATATGTTGGGCTTCATATAAGTTTTCATTTGATAAGGTGTCCTAGAGAAAGTTTAAAAACCACTGATCTTATCCAACATTTTCATTGTAAATATGGGAAAATGGAGGCCTAGCAAGGGAAAGGGACCATCTCAAGGCCATTCACCTCACCGCTGGTCCAGGGTCCTGATTGGGAAGTGACCCAGCCAAGGCCCTGAGCCAGAGAAGAGTGGGAGAGAGTGTAGCGCTGGGACCTGGGGTGGGCACAGCTCAGGAGAATGGGGATGATGGCAATCCTGAGCATCCCAGGCCTGAACCTAGAGACCACCCACAGCCGTGGGCTGACCTCAGACACCAGTGCATGGAGTCCTCCCAACCTTGCACCCTAGAAATACAGCTGCCCTGGCCAGCAAAGCCCTTGCTCTGCCCCTTCCCAGAACAAATAGGGGCTGACACAACCTCCAAGCACTCTTGTGATGGAAGAAAGGACATTTCCATGCACTCTGAACTGGTCTTGCCAAGGTGACCAAGCCCACAGAGAGCAATCAGATGGCCCAGAGATGCTCCATACCCAAGGTAACTGGCCACCCTCCACTGTCCTACAGGTTGGGTGGTCTGCATCAGACACACAGTTCAGAAAGCAGTCCCACACTGAACAGTACTCGGGCCCAGACCTCCCGACAGCGTTTTCACTCACAAGGAACCAACACTCTCTCTCTCACAGGATTGCAATGCAAAGTACTCTCCAATCTCTTTCAGTGAAGAACCAAAATCCCAAGTCCTCTACTGCTGAGTCCTAGTGCTTCTCCTAAGCCTTCTTGTGGGCACAAGAAAGGTGTGTCTTGGGGTTCCTTTCCATGCTGAAACAGGGTAAGGTTGTGCATCAGCCCTAAGCCCTTTCATCTAGAACATCAGACCCTCAGAACCTGAGTCAGACCCGTCTTGGAAGCAGGCATGGTACAGATAACCTACACATGGAAAAATGAATGACTCTTGGCTCTAGACACCACAGATGGTCCTACCACCTCGAATTCCTCTGTTCCACGCTTCCCAGCAGCAACCTCAGGTGGAATGGGCTTTCTCCAGGTCAGCTCACTGGCTCCATCTGAGGAGTGCCCGAAAGTCCCAGAGCAGTGAGGGGTGTTGATAGCATCTCCTATAGTCTTTTCTGGCCCCTTTGATGCCTACTTGTCATTCTCAGACTTGTATTACAGATTAACCAACCCCCTGTTGCCTAATAGACCATGAGGTCTTTGAGAACAGTGGACCAGGTCTTGGTCAATTCTGTAAAACCTTCACCTAGGACAGGTCCTAGTACAGAGGAAGTGCCTAGTAAACATTTTTTAGTGAATGAACTGGTCAGTACACCCTCAGGGTCACCGTGAGGAACCTCATTGCTTAAATGAGTGGGCTTTATGGTCCCTTCACCCCCCACCCCCATCCTCTTTTATCCTTTTACAAATGTTTGATAACTATAGTGTGGCTTTTAAGTCAGTGTTAAATATCATCATCTGGTTAGCTAGTGAACCACAGGAGCCAACTTGAGAAAATCACCCACTCATTTTTTAAAATTACTTTTTTTTTCTGATTGACTAAGTGAATTCACAGTGAGAAGGAGGAGAGGGAAGGAAGAGGGGAGCAGGACCCTGTGGTGTGCTCACAGATCTTTGGCCTGGTCCCTGGAGTGACTGTTGAAAGCTGACCACTTACCAAGTGCTTGTGGGATGTTTGCATCCTTGCCTACCACACACACACACACACACACACACACACACACACACACACACACACACACACGCTCCCTTCCTGACCACAGCCACCCCATCTACCCTCAACACCCCCACCCTTTGTCCTGGTGGGTTGTGAGGGCCACCACACCAATGTTAGATGAGACTGTGCTTGGTGAACGGTGAATCCAGGTCCAGGATTCTGAATAAAGCCCCCCCCCCATACCCCAAGCACCCACCACTTCCAGATGAAGTGACTTAGTGATAACTGAGAATTGGGAGTTAGCAAGTTAGTTGGGAAATGGTTGGGGTCTTGGAGGGAGGGAGTTTCAGATATTAAGGTGTGTATGTGTAACTGCTATAAGTTCAGAATTTCAGAGCGACTGGAACACAGAGGGAGGTGGGAAGGTGGGGAGTTGGAAGAGAAGAGGCAGGCGGGGCCTTACAAGCCACATTAAGGACCTTAAACTTTATTCTTCGGGCAACAGGGTGTTTAAGCCGGAGAGTGAGGTGGTCAGATGTGTGCAGAAGGCTCAGACTGGGGGCCAATGGCAGGATGTGAAGCAGCCCCATCTGTCATACCCATGGCGCTTCATGAAGGAGGGCAGGAGACCAGGTCCTGAGGTTCCTGGGATTTAGGACCAGCAACTCTAGTGTTCCTATCAATTCTACTTCTAAGGGGCAGGCCTAGGGAAGTCTCAATTAGCTTGAGACAGCTTATTTCAGCTCTGAAGTCAGACCACCTAGTTTAAAATCTTGGCTTCATCACTAACTGTGTGACCTTGGGCCAGTTACTTAACCTCTCTGGGCCTTGATCTCTAAAATGGGAATGTTGAATTATTGTGAGCTCTCATTAGAAAATATTTGTAAGATGCCCAGCACACAGTAGATGCTCAGTGTTTGTTAATCCCTTTTCCCATTAGCTACCATGTCCCTGAAAACCCATATTCCAAATGGCTTTGTGTAGAGTCCCACTTTGAGTACACCAGAGGCACTTCCCTGATGGGGATCCCTGGGTAGAGTGAACATTACCCTCCCTGCAGCAGCCAAGGCTACTTGGCTTGTACATCCTGATGCCTATGAATTGTTACATAGTGTGGACCTGGTAACTCTTTAGCCATATAACCTCTAGGGCAGATGACTGAGCATGCTCACTGCTCCACCAACCCCCACCCCCTTGGTTCCTAGGCTGCACAGGGTGCCCAGAAGTTGAGGCAAAATCTTAGCAAGGATGGGGAGCTGTTAGATGAGAATTTGACACCCACCTTAAGCCTCCCACCCTGATCGTTGACTCAGGTCGTGCCAGGAAGTGTCAGGGGAACTGAAATCTTGTTAGTGGCCCTGGCAGACCATTCCCCTCTCTAGGCCTGTTTCACGTCTGTAAAATGGTCAGACGTTGACTTACATAACCTTTAGGGACTCTTTCCACCCAAACATTCCTGGGTTCTATAATGGATAGGAAGAGAATTGGAACCCCAATCCCCACCCTACCCCCTACCAAAGCCAAGTGAACAACCCAAGCAAATCAAGATTCCTAGGAGAGGGCTCCATCCTTTCAGAGACAGATGCCTCGAGGCTAAGAGAGGGGCTATAAGATGAGGTGGTCCACCAGATTGGAGACAGCAAGGGTGCAGCTGGGTGGGGCGCCAGACATGTCAGTCAGACCCCTGCCTCTGGCTCCATCAGATTCAAGGATGGCCCCCCGAGGAAGGTGACTGTGGTCTGCAGAGGGGGCTGGGAGCTCTGACATGTCCAGATTCAAGGATTCGTCAATATGGCATGACTGCATGGAGAAGCTGCTGGGTCAGGAGAGACACCCCATGGGGCTGTGCTGGTCTTAGGGTCAGGTCCTTATACACCCGACCGCTTCTGAGAGCTGCCTCCCTGCACCCAGTAGGATCTACAGCCCAAGGGGCTACCCTGCCTGGCTCGCCTGCAGAGGGGAGTCCAGAGGGCATTTTCTTCCTTAGGGCTTGGCTTTTCCCAGTGAGAGGCAAGCCAGCACCTTCAAGAGGTCATTCCCCTCTCTAGGCCTCAGTTCGTGTCTATAATGCTCAAAGGTTGACTTACATACCCACTGGGGACTCTTTACACCTGAGCGTTCCTGGAGTCTCTAATGACCAGTGTAGCACAGTCACGCTTACCCCAGCCCAGCCACAGCGGGCCTGACCAGAGGCCAGGTGCAGAACCATGACACTGCTTAAAGGCAATAAAAACCCAAATCCATGCTTCATCTCAAAATTCAGCGTTTTATTATTGGGGGTCTGGGCCCAGGTAGGGGGAAGGTTGTTGAGCTAAAGCATCATTGTTCTCTTTCCAGGAAATGTTGCAACCTGCGGTGAAAGCTTGAGATGTTGCATTTTTTTCAATGTGTTTTCAAAAATATCATCCGTTCCCCCTTCCCCCACTAATTTTAGAATCAGACCAAGCCAAACTACTGTCCTCTGTTTCTGTTGGGAAAATACTATATTTATTCAAGATGCAGAAGTGCATCTCTGCAAACCTCCCGATTGCTTCAGGAAAACAAATCTGCTTTAGACTATACAGAAACTGTGATACAAAATTTATTTCATGCGAGAATCGCTTTGCATAACATTGGGCATGCAGTTTTTTACTCTGAAGTTCTAAATTGCATACAATGCTAGGTTGTGCCTTAATAAAAGTGGAGGAGGGTCACTCCTCCTATGGTCCTGATCTTTTTGGTGCTCTACATCTTGGTGTTAAAGTAACACTTCGAAAATCCATATGGTGTTGATTATTTACTATGAACAATTTGTCATGAAAGGTGGTCACACTGGTCTACACACCGATAAGATGACAGAATCAACCTAGACTAGTCGCTGTCAGGGAGAGTCTTGGGGTGACGTCCGCTGGGTCACAAGCATGCCGAATGGAGAGGTAAGAAGGCAGAGGTGTGAGTTTCCACCATTCTATTTGGAGCAAAGTTCTCAATCTCCACGTATGAGATGAACTATGAAGGTGAGGTCAATATGACCGATGACTGACCGATTGCCCTTTTTGGAAACTTCACTCTTGATTTCATATACAAAAACGGAAGTAATCTCTTCCCTTCCCCCAGCCCTCCCCCAACCCCCTACCCCCAGAAATGCAGAGGTTTCTACTGAGTGCCTTTACAGTTTGGCTTCAACAATGTGTGTAAAAGTAAAGAGCTTTGAAAGAAAAGAGAACTTTTTCTTTTTCTTTTCGTTATCATTGTTGTTTAAGGTAATCATATAGTTAGTTGCAGGGGTTTGGTGGGTTCGGTTGCCTGGGTTTTCTGTTTAACTTCATGCAAGTCATGCTAAGGAACCCCTCCACCCGCCCACCCCACCAAATAAAAGAAAATTTTTTTAAAAATGAAAAGAAGGAAAAGAAATCCTCTACGGTCAGTTACCATTTGGCCGTAGAAAAAGCTACGTCCATCCTAGTACAATGCCTGGGCCACTCGGACTCGTCCGGCAAACCTGCATGGCGTGAATTTACTCTGTCCGAGGGTGAGGAGGGGCTGCAGGTCCACCCAGATGCTTAATAGCCACCAGTGTCCTCGGCCAAGCCGCCTGGTCAAGTCACTCTCACAGCCTCTGTCGGCATATACTTAGCAATGACAGGGCTTTCTTTGCAAAGATCTGTATGTAAAGAATACAATTAACACTTGAGCTTCTCTTCTTGGCTTTCCCATCCCACTTGGTACTTAGTTTTTAAGGAAGGAGAAGGAAAGACAGAACAGCCACATGCAGAGGCAGGCAGATTCTTCTCCAGCTGGCTTGGTTTTCCCATGCAGTGAGCCAGCCTAGCACGCCTTTCTCTCCCTCCTGGGAACTGAGTGGAGTCCCCAACTTGTCTCCTACTCTGCATATGGGCTCAGACACCTGCATGGCTTATGGTTCAGAATTATCCTGAGAAAAGCAAGTCCTCCGCGGCTGGCATGACTCCACAATAGCAGGGGCCAGATGGATGTGGGTAAGGGCACTTTACCTTGTTGCCTCCCAAAGATTCTGACACCCAAGTCTCTATGGGATTGGGGAGTGGGGATCACCCGTGGACAGTGGTTGCTGCTGGGTTCCCTGGTTGCTACAGAAGTTTGGGGCATCTTCTGTCCCCCACTTCCTGGGCTTCTGGAAGCACAGTAAAGAGACTCTTCTGTCTGCTCTTTAAGGCCACACTGATCGACCCAACACTCAAGGAGACAGGCAGCCCCTGAGACCTTCCTGGGCAGGGCACAGCCATTGGAACGGTCTACCTGCTTCCCTCTCACTCCCCAGGGCTGCCCCGGCTCCCGGGCATTCTGAAGCCTCCCCTCCACCTAGGTAAAAGCCAACTGCAAAGGGGGACATCAGGCCCATCCATGGAAGGTGCCAAGGACGGGGCCTTCCCCAAGGCCGGCAGCCCTCCACCATGCAGCACCATGCGGGAAGCAGTATGTGGCACTGGGATCCAAGGGACCTCTGGGCAGGGCAAGGAAGCAGGGGCCAGCCTAGGCCAGGTGGTCATACTAGGTGGGGTCGTTGGCATTAACCAAGCACCATGGGCCAGAAGGATTTTCCCACCTCTTGGTGCAGCTGCCTCGCCTCTTCTGTGTTTGCCTTTTATTGTGAGTTCTGTGTTTAACCACTTCAAATACTTGAGCAGTTGTGAATGGCCACAGGCTGTACCAACTATTGCTCTCAGAAAACCGACTACCACCCAGCCCAGCCCTGCTCACCCCGGTCAGCATGCATCCTGTGTGAGCACAGGGACTTCTTAGACATGCACGAGCTGCCCAGCCAGCCTGCTGCGCTGAGGGTGGCTTCCTCCAACTCCTCCACCTTCCAGGCCCGGCCAATGCCCGCAGCCTTGAACTGGGGTGCTCTGGGCCCCACCCCAAGCCTCTCCCCAACCCATGCTCAAGCTCTGGTAGAAGCCTCTCTCTCCAGCGGGGCCAGCCTAAGGGTCTGACTACAAGGAAGCCTTGAGCAGAGAGGCCACCACTGGTCTCAGCCTTCACCAACCACAAGGGGGCTTGTGATCACACCTGGGGCTGTGTCGTAAGCACTGGGGACAGAAAGGGGCTGCAGAGTCCTGATGAAATGCCTTCTCTTGGGAAGTTCTCTATCTGCCACTAGCAATATTCTGACTGGCACACACCTTACATCTGCAAGGACACTGGCCTCACTCTCAGCCCTGAAGTCACTTCTCTCTTCATGCCTTTCCCACTGGCCTGTGGATTCTTGTGAAAGGATGCTTCTTCCAGAGCATGGACCTTCAGTGGCTAAGCCAGGCCTGGCCAGGAGCACCCCGCTAGCCTCTTCCCCGGTGAGTGGGCCTCACCTCCCCTCTGCCAGAGCAGTCTAGAAGAGTGGAGGCTCCTCCTGAATCCCTCTGTCTCCACTCTGTCACGGCTCATAGTCGCCAGCCTGTCCCAAGCCCCTTCCTGCCCTTTAGCTCACTACCAACACTCATGTTCTCTCTGGAAGCCTGACAGCCACTTGGGACAAAGGGACTCAGACCTCCAGGGGCCACCCCAGGGACTCCTTCCACTCCACACCCCCCTCAAGTGTGCCTGCCTGCCCCTTGGCGCCCCTCGCCCGCCACCCGCCCACCCGTCTGCAGGAGTGCGAGGTGGGCCCTGGTGATGCAGAGTGCCCCAGCCTCCTCTACATACCCTTTCTCATTCCTCCACCAGGTGGGCACGCGTACTCCCCGGTTGATAAGAGGAAGCAGGGTCCGTATCTCTCGCGGGTGCCCGAGCGCGTAAAGGGCAGGCCCTCATCAGGAGTGAGGGCCTGGTCTATGTGGGGGCAGTCTTCGTTCGCCAGCGCGGCCTTCGCCACCTCCCCATTCAGTTTGGAATCTTCAAACATATAAGCAGAAGCTATTGAGACACTGAAAACTGTTTAGTCGGGGGGACAGGCCAGAGGTGGGGCATTGGCAAAGGGCAGCCCGTCCCTCAGGACAGGAAAGCAGATGGGCCGTGGAGGGAGGCCAAGGCTGGGGGTCCTTGGCTCATTCAGGCAGCCTATGGGCTGCCCACATCGCTGGAGGCAGGGAGGGGCTCCTGGGTTTGCTCAAAGTTTGCAAAAAGATGAGTCGGTGATGGGCCCAGCAGGCGCAGTGCTGGGAGTGGGCCCAGGGCTCAAGGCAGGGCCGATGAGACAGGATGGTGTGGATACAGTCATGGGGAAGGGGCCAGACACAGAGCTCAGGGAGAAGACAGACAGACATGAAGAACACTCCAGTCCAGAGAGGTGACCTTTTTTGGGCACCTCTGCTGCTGACCAGAGCCTTGTTTCCTCCACCCCCAGCCAGCCAGTCACTCAAGCTTCCCTAGACCCATTCAGACCCAGCCCGGTCACTCAGCCTGGTCTGCCCCACATGGCCCTCATCTGGATCATCTCTCCTCCATCCCCCATCTGGATCCTATCTAATTGCTCAGTTCACTCTGTCCCCCACGCACACCCTATCTGATCACTCGGCCTGCCCCGCCCTCCACCCCTTATAGACCCACTCTGTCACTCTGCATGCCCCACCCCCATACCCCATACCGACTAGGCCTGGTCACTCAGTCTACTTAGTCCCCCATGCAGACCTAGTCTGACCACTCACTCTTCCCATCCCCACAGAGACTCAGTCTGGCCACGCAGTCTACTCTGCTTCCATACAGACCAAGCCAGCATCCTCCACCCAGTCTGCCCCAGCAGGCCTGGTCATCGTGCACGGGCACAACAGGGATGTATGCATGAGGCTGTGACAGTGGGACTTGGGTCTGGGAGGGGCTCCCATCCCTCTGTCTCCTCATATCAGCGTCCCCGGCAAAGCAGAGCAAATGGATGTGTAGAAGGCAACAGCAGCTGATGGGCTTTGGTGGGGAAAGAGTTATGCTTTGGCCTCTGCAGTAGTCTGAGAAGGAACCTGGGAGGAGGTTTGGGGGCACATTTGGAGAGGGGCAAAGTGTGGTCAGAGCAAGGAGCTCTCTCTCTCTCCCACTCCAGGACAGAGCCATGGAAGCCTCTGGGCTGGCAGAGGTAGCTCTGACTGGCCTTTGCCCTGTCCCCATCCCTCCTGGGGACTGAGCCTGCTCCACGCTCTCGGGCCCTCAAAGCAGAATCTTCTTGGCCAGGGTGAAGCCAGTTCAGTCCCCAGGGTAGGCCCCCTGGCTTCCTCAAATCTTTACCTAAAGTAAGAGCCTCAAGGGTGAGCCCTTTTGTGGAAGAAGAAAACCAACAAGGGCAGTGACCTTGGTAGAAGGGCTCTCCTAATGATTACCAAAACCAAACCCACTGCCATCGAGTCGATTCCGACTCATAGCAACCCTATAGGACAGAGTAGAACTGCCCCATAGGGTTTCCAAGGAGCGGCTGGTGGATTTGAACTGCTGACCTTTTTGTTAGCAGCCTGAGCTCTTAACCACTTTGCCACCAGGTCTCCTTCCTAAAGATTAAGGAGGGGGAAGAAAAGCTGGATACTATTTCCACCCAGATTTGACACTTCCGTGATCCTGTTCACATCATGTAACTACACGCAGGAGTGATCCTTCCCCTCGTGCACACACTCAGCGTGCACGTGGGTGGGATCACCACCCGTGTACACATCATGTCACTACAAAGAGGCAGTCAGTCAAAAGAGAAATGGACCAATCAGGTTTATTCGTAAAGCAAATCCAAAAAAAAAAAAAAAAAAAAAAAACCCATCATAATTTTGGAACTTAAAAAAAAGTCTCTCATACAAGATGGCAAAGCATTTCACGTACAGTGTGTTTCTTGACAAACCCCATAAGCTTCACTCCTCGAATAACTCTGAACCAGAAAGGCCAGTTACCAAGGTAACCCTGACACCATGTAACTGGGGCTGGGGCCTCTCTGAGGCCTGAGGGCTGAGAGCCCACAGGGTGGGCGAGTGCTCACAAACTGTGGGGACCTGCCTCTCACTCTGGCTGGCCCCTGTCTTCCTTCCCCAGGGTCTCTGGGCAGAGGGAGCATGGTGCTTGGGGAGAGGGGAGGGAAGGAGGAGGAGGTGGAAGTAGATGGGAGGGGTGGAAGTTGGAGCCCATAGTACCCTGCACGCATTTTCCTCCAGGGGAAGACAATATGTCCTCCTAGGCAGCATCTCCACCTGGGGAGGGGAGCAAAGACGTGCTGACTCTGTCTGGCCTTAGTCTGTCAGTGAGGGTGTCTACAGCCTGCAGTTCTTGCCCAGGGATGGGTCAAAGGTGGATGCCCTTCCCTGTCTCTGCTTTCATGGAGGTGGTGCAGCCTGAGTCCCCTCCTCCAGCTCTGTGGATGCTGAGCCACCACCCACCCGTGTACCTACAACCCACAAGCGCCCTCACCCCTGGAGTTCCCAGCACCCACAGCCTTTAAGGGGCCCAAAGTTTGGGCTGGTTTTCCTTGCAGGGGCAGGGGGCAAGGAGCAGCCATCAGAGAGACCAGTGATGGGTGTGAGCTGGGGACACTTCCCTCCTGAGGAGAGCCACCAAGACACCCCTGGGGCCTGCTTCTTCCCTCAACCTTGACCTTTGAGGAGGGGACTGTGACTGGGTGGGGGTGTTTATGTTTTGCTCGGTGACTGAGCCCAGCCTCACTGGGCTGTTGGTTTGTCTGCAGTTTGGGGGTGCTCTCAAGACTTGGGGCATTCTCCCTCCCTGGCTCCAGAAGGGTGGCTGGAAGAGAAACCAAGGAGGGACCAACTCTCTAGATATGGGAAGCCTGGGGGATGGGCCAGAGGTGTGAGCTTGCCCAAGACTCCCTATCCCCTGCTCCACCCAGTCTTTTGATGAGATGGCAGCAGGAGCCTAGGTTCCTCCTCTTCCTGGAAGGCTGGGAGCCCTGCCTTCCCTGGCCCTGGGCCCCCAGCCCCCCACTAGACCCACAGGCCTGTGATGGTGAAATGGCAGCATGGGTAGCATCTTACAGGGATGGTTTCCAGGCTTTGAAATGGGCTGAGATGAGCGTCCGCGAGAGGGTCATTTTTTTTTAAACTTTGGAGCAAGGAGAACCTGCATGGCTGGCCAGCAGGGCTGGCTAGTCTGCCCTGGTCTCCAGGCATTGCTGGATGTACTTACTGTTCGCAACAGCAGCGGGCGCCGGGGGGCGCACGCAGGGCTAGGGCGGGGTGGGGGTTTACTGGGGTCTGCCCAGCTGAGAGCTCAGGGAAAACCGTCCCGGGCTAAATAGGGACAGTCTGTGAGATACACGAGCAGAGTACAATCACGAGAACCGGCACAAGTCATGCAACAAAACGAGGAGAGAGAGAGACATGATTAGTGGAGACAGAGAAAGAGAGAATGTGAACAACAAGGAAAAGAACACCCATGACCCATGACTGGCCCTTGGAGCCCAGAGACCGTTCATTTCTCCCCTACTTCCCCTTATCCTGCCTGAGGGTGACAAGGACCCCACTCTGGGCCCAAGCTGCCTACCCTGCAGCTGGGTCTGTGCAGAAACTCTTCCCCACACAAAGGGCTTTGCTGCCCGGTGCGGAGGGGCCGTGCCCCACACCCTGTCTCCTGTCTGCTCAACTCTGCCCCCAACCCCCAACCCTCACACCACTCCCTCAGCAGCCACTGCAGCCCCACAGGGGAAAGCTGGAGATGCCAGGGGATAGGGGGACTTTGGACTCCGCTGCTCAGGGAGAAACAATCCCCACCACCCGCCTCCACCACCACCACCACCACCGCCACCAAAGATGACTGAGGCTGCAGTGGGAGCTCCCAATGGGCCCAGGCAGGGGCTTCTGTGGGAGCTCACTGCTGCCCTGAGTGCCGTGGGCAGGAAGGGGCCTGGCCACTCTCTCTTCCTGCTTGCCAGCCCCCTCCTCACCTACAGTGGGGACCCTGCAGCCCAAGATGTGGCACCACAAGGACCAACCCACATCACAGGAGCAGAGATGGACAAGACACATGTGAATGGACATGGCAGGACAGAGGGAGTACTCCGAGCTGCCCAGAGCAGATGGTCTGGGCCCCTGACTGCAGATGGGGGAGGGAGCCCCTTTCTGGGAGAGGAGCTGCTTCTCCCGGGCCATCAGCCCCAGGCAGTCCTTGGCTATGCCAGAGTGCCCTCCTGGCAACCCCTGTGAGGCCCTACAACCAGCTGAGAATAGGACCCCTGACCACCTCTTGATGCTATAACTCCCCAGGACAAGACCCCCAAACACTGAGGCTATGCTGGCCATGGCACAGAGGAGACTAGACCGTCCCTAGGACAGACACACAGACCTGAGGCTTCAGGAGGTGGAGGTGAGGGAAGGTGCTGTTGGCAGGACTAGGGGGTGTGGGTGACTGCCCTTAGAGCCCAACTTGCTTTTAGAGCGGGATTGCAGAACCCAGGCTTCAGAGAGACTGCCCTTGGGAACTGTATCTCACCTCCCATCATTCGTGTAGGGCCTGGTCTCCACCCACCACCTTTACCTTCCTCACCCTGGCCTCCCCCTCATTCACTCACAAACTTATTCCAACCCCTCACCCATCTAGGCCTACAGCTGCAAGCAGAAAGGAGGCTAATGAGAAGGGACTCAGTGGTGCAGAGAAGGGAGGGAGGCCTTCTAAGGACTGCATATCCTGCTGGTGGTAGACAATCTGAGTTTTACACACCAGCTCCTAGGCTGGAGGGAGGAGCGTTTGGTGAGGGATAAGGCTCAGTGGGGTCTCTGAGATGAGGTGGAGAGGCCAGAACATCAGGGCAGCACCACCAGCAGCAGCTCCCTCCCTGGGGTCATCTGCCCCCTCAACTTCCCCAGCTCTGGGAAGTGAGCAGTTGGGAAGGGAGTGGGGATAGAACATGGAGAATGGAGAAAAGCAGGAGGATCCAGGCATCTGGGCCCCAGAGGGCAAGTTTGGGAGAGTCCAAGATAACTCCTCAGCCATAGAGACTGCCCAAGCCAGAGCACTCTAGGTCCCTGAGACCTGGGGTCCAGGGTAAGGTGGCCCACAGGAGCAGGGTTGCTGAGGCTAGGGAAGGGCTGTGGGGTTCAGGGGAGTCCAAAAGGAGTGCATGGGCTTGAGACATGTGCTGCAGCATGGGAGGAGGGCTTGTGTCCCTGGGACTAGTTGGAGTGCACATCTGAACATCTGAACACAGGTGTCTGCTCTCTGTGTGTGCACGTGTGTGCATGCACACATGCGTGTGTATACCTTCAGCACATGGATAATACTGTGTCAGTGATTAGGAGTGCATAGGAGTCTGTGCCTGACTGGAATAAACCAGGGATCCTTGGCAGGTAGGCCCGGGGTACCCATGCTTGTCCACACCATTTCTGAAAAATTCAGGGTTGGGAGGACAGGAAGGAAGGGCCAAGTAGTGCCATGATGATGTCACTCAGGCTGAGCTCTTTCTGCTGGGCCCAGAGAGGAGCTGGGGGCTCCATGATGGTGACTATTGAAGTCAAGATACCCAGCTCAGTGACTATTCATCCAAAGCAGAGAGGTGGGGCAGAGGCTTTCCACAGACATGTGCCTGGCTGTTGCCAAGCAGGAGCCATGCCTCAGCTGGAGAGCCCCGCCCCACCTCAGGCCCTCTGTTCCAGCCTCTCAGACCCCTGCCCACCCCCTGCCCCAGCCCAGGACACTAGCCACTTTCCTCTTAGGTTCCTATAGGAATCCCAGGAAGTGGGGAAGGCAGGACAGAGGGAAAGGGCTGGAAAGCCCCCATGGGCAGATAAGTGGGCCATGGAGGTACTGCTGTAGCCAGTGTAGCTGTGGGATGAAGCCAGACCAGGATCAGGATAGGGTGGTAGTTCAGAGTGCATGTCAGCAGGGAAGAAAGACTCAGCCATCCACTGGGGGAGACCACCCACATCTTGAGGAAACCTGCTCACTTGGAGCCCAGCTAGTCTGCAGCCTCCCTGCATACACCTGAGTCATAAGCTAACTACTACCTAGCCCTCCCCTCCGGCCTTCCACTTGCCCCAGCACTCCTTCTCAGCTCAGTGTGGTCATTATTCTCTGGGTCATCCATTCCTTTGAAATCCCTGTGTCCACAGAATAAGTTGATGGTATTCCATGGGTAGAGGTAGACTATGGGCTTTATATCTACAGACCAGAGCCCCATGATCAACTTTATGTGCTATGTGCAGGTTCTCATAAAACTGAGATAGTCCCATAACAAACCACTAGCCATGGAATATTAGAATATATCCCACGGTGACTAGTATTGTTGCATGGCCCCCCTCCCCCTCCCCGACCCCCAGTGAAATCACGGGAAAGTGGTTGTGCACTGGTTGGGATGTCTTGTATTGCTGCTGCAGTCCCTACACTGGACATGGGGAGAACCCTCGGTGGGAGGTTGTTGCTGGTCTGTTGCACTTTCATCTAAGCTGCCAGGGTGGTGGCCCCCTCTAGTCCTTTGCTCACCAGCTGCTTCCATCAGAAGGCCACCAGAAACTCCCACTCAACCATCAACCCAAACAGACAACGTGAAAGCTATAGTCACTCCAACAGGTTCCTAAAGATAAACGCTAAACTCTAGAGTGGTGGTAGAAGATGAGTTGGTTCTGCATGCTATGGGGTAAGTAAGCTTGTTACGGAGGCTAGAGGCATCTTCTAGGAAGGACCCGGAACTAGGCGGCCGGAATCAGAGCAGGAATTCTACTCAACTATGGAGACAGGCTCTGTTGGGGGCTGAGACTCCGTGCTCCAGCCTCTGCAGGGACACCCTGCCCATATCCATGAACCATTTCTGCCATCTACACAGCTTGAAGGGAGCTGTGTGCCATCTACACAGCTTGAAGGGAGCTGTGTAAGGACCAAATCAAAAGCCGTCTGGCGTTTTCGAATCACACCTCCCTGGTCCCTGCCCTGCCCCAACACTGGGTCAGTAGCCTGAGTCAGTGACTCATGCTCAACTCCTGCCCACATGAGCAGCAGCCCCTCGGGCTCCTGCTAAGATAGTCCTCAGCAACCTTGCAGGCCGTGTTGTCTCTTGAGAACATCACAAGACCAACTGCATCAACCTCCTTACCCAGGACAACCAGTGAGGCTCTTGCCTTCTGAATTTAGCTGCCCAGTATCTCCCTGGGCCCCCAGGCTCCACACCTCAAGATTGAGCGTGGGGTCCTGGGTCACCCACGGAACTAAGGAAGCAGTCTGACTGAATCTGGAATCATCGCTACAGGGGGCGGAGTGAAAAGTCAGATCGACATGCCTCTAAGAGGTTTCCTACCTGCTCTGTTAATTTCTAAAATTTCTTCCTGGGCCAGCGGGCATGTGTCACTCTGAGTACTGTGGTGTGGAGAGTTTACGACAGATTTACAATAATTGGGAGATCCCAGCTGCGGTGGCCGTGGAATATGCTTCTTTTTTTTCTTTGGTAGTTTCTGCTTAGCCATGGCTAAGGAATAATACATCCCGAAATTGTTCACAATGACGGGTACCGGCATGGCGATGGTCAGCACGCCTGCCAGCGCGCACAGCGCTCCCACCAACATGCCGGACCATGTCTGTGGATACATGTCTCCGTAGCCCAGCGTTGTCATAGTGACCACGGCCCACCAGAAGCCAATGGGGATGTTCTTAAAGTGTGTGTGCTCACTGGCGCTGGGGTCATTGGGCTGGGCCCCTATCCTCTCGGCATAGTAGATCATGGTGGCGAAGATCAGGACGCCCAAGGCCAGGAAGATGATAAGCAGTAGGAACTCATTGGTGCTGGCACGGAGAGTGTGGCCTAAGACCCGCAGGCCCACAAAATGGCGGGTCAGCTTGAAGATGCGCAGGATGCGCACGAAGCGGACGACGCGCAGGAAGCCCAGAACGTCCTTGGCAGCCTTAGAGGACAGGCCACTTAGGCCCACCTCCAGGTAGAAGGGCAGGATGGCCACAAAATCAATGATGTTGAGTGAGTTCTTGATGAATTCAACCTTGTTGGGGCAGAAGACGACACGCATGAGGAACTCAAAGGTGAACCAGACTACGCAGACGCCCTCGATGTAGGTGAGGAAGGCCTCCGTCTCGGCTTCCCGGTAGTAGCGTACTTGCGTGCCATTCCGGACATTCTCGATCTCCGTCTTGTTCACGATGGGGTTGAAGCGCTCGTGGGTCTCCAAGCAGAAGGTGGTGATGGAGACCAGGATGAAGAAGAGGGAGGCAAAGGCCACATACTGTAGGGGAGAAACAGACAGTGTCAAACGGGTGGCCTTTCCACCCACTCACAGTGGAGAAACATAGGGTACCTTGCTGTGGGGACTAGCCAGAGGGCCTGGCCAGGGGAAGATGCATGCACAATACCGCCCACCACCGTATCATGGGTCAAGCTGACCATGTTACATATCTCTCAGGGTAAGAAGCCTTGGGAATTATGGGGCTATGGTAGAGACCACTCTGTTGTCACTAACCCATTTCCTCTTCCTCCTGGACACACAGTAGGCTACATTTCCCAGCCTCCCTTGGGGCTAGATGAGGTCATGTGATGGGGTTCAGGCCAGTGGAATGCAGACAAAAGAGATGTATGCTACTTCCAGTCCGGGCCCATCAATCTTCCATGCTTTCTTCCCCCCATTGCTGGCCATATGTGGAGGACCCAGCAGAGGATTCTGAACCTCTAGGGGACAGCAGAGCCACCAGAGAAAAGGGGCCTGGGTCCCTGAAAGAAAGGATATCCACTCAATACCCTTCTTGATCTATTATGTGAGTGGAAAATAAACTTCTATTGTGTTAAGTTACTGTGATTTGAGGGTGATGTGTTGGATCAGGAGTCCCTGGGTGACATAAACAGTTAAGCTCTCGACTATTAACTGAAAGATTAACAGTTTAAACCCACCCAGAGGTGCCTGGGAAGACAGGTCTCTGGGTCTTTCAAAGGTCACAGTTTGAAAACCCTATGGAGTGAAGTTCTACTTTGCAACATATGGGGTCACCACGAGTCGGAATCAACTCAACAGCAACTGGTTTGGTTTTTGGTCTTGGTGTTGGAGCACTTACCTGACTAACCTGACTAAAAAAAGTGACCTAGCCTGCTGGGGCTGCAGCTTGCAAATAAGCAAGAGGGGACAGCTAGTGGAATCAGGCACCTCAAGGCCACACCTCCCATCTTTCTTCCTTCCTACTCCAGTACGTTTGTTCTCTTTTCCCTGTATCTGTAGGTCACTCATGTGGTCTCTTTTGGGTTCTAGCGTATCTAGAACTGAGGGAGATGTATATCTGCCCCAGGTTTAATCTCTATCCTTCTAGAAACTCCCACCACCAACGTAGAAATGAGTTTTCCATTCTTGGAAGTATTCAAATAGAGGCTACATGATCACTTGTCTGAGATACTGTGTTGAGGGTTCAGGCATCAAGAAAAGAATTGGACCAGGAGTCCTCAAAGACACCATAAGCCAGGAGTCTGAGTCTAGCTTTGCGCACCTTGCCAGACACCAGGTAGGGTGTGGGTGGGAGAGAGGAAGAAGCTGCTGGGGGACTGAGGCTCCCCAAACATATGTTGTACCTGCTGCTCTTGGACCCCACCAGTGAGAAAGAAATGGCCAGGATAACCTAGCCTGTCCAGAACCACCTGCTTTGGCCCTGAGCCCCCTGGAGAAAAGTTTAGGAGGCCCTTTGGTTTGATTTGGTGGCTCCGTCTAATGACTACCTGGACCGTTTTAGTCCCCAGCAGATATGGGTACCTAAAGAGGTAGACTCAAGCAGCTGTCTGAGTTTCAAATCCTCCTTCTCAGACTGAATTCTGGGCAAGGTCTCTTCTCACAGCCTCCCATCAGCTGCCCCTGGAACCCTAACATACCACGGCCTCCCTTGGCACTGACCTGGGCAGATGGAACTCTGAGCAGCTGGCCCTCCCCTAGGGTCCAGGGGGTCATTCCTACCTGCATGTTCCCACCACTCCCCACTCCTCTGGACTCCCCTTCTCTCTGCCTGACCAAGACAGCCAATGGCCAGAGCAGGGCCATCTCCCAGGAGGCGGCCCAGGGCTACAGTCTTGAGTGGGCGGCATCTTCCTCCTCCAGAGCTGCCTTCATAAATAACTTCAAAAAGTGCCAAGGTCCCACCTTGTAGCAGCAGCAGGAGGCAGCCATGCTGCCTCTAGCAATTGTTATTATTTGCAGTGATTCGGGGAGGTGGGGGGTGCTGGAAGTACCATGACAACCCTGTCTGGGTTGACCATGGTCACAGGGCCTGCCACCCAAACTGGGAGAAGCTAAAAGGTGGAAACAACCCAAATGTCCATCGACAGATGAATGGATAGATAAACAAAATGTGGTATATACATACAATGGAGTATTACCCAGCCATAAAGAAAGATGAAGTTCTGAAACATGCTACAACATGGATGAACCTTGAAAACATTATGCTGAGTGAAGTAAGTCAGACACAAAATGACAATTATTGTACGATCCCACTTATATGAAATACCTAGAACAGGCAATTTCCTACAGACAGAAGGTAGATTTCGTGGTTACCAGGGACTTGAGGGAGGGGAGAATAGGGAGTTGTTGCTCAATGGTATGGAGTTTCTGTTTGGGGTGATGAAAAAGTTCTGGAAATAAATAGTGATGACTGCACAATATTGTGAATATAATTAATATAACTGAATTCTTAAAATGGTTTAAAGGGAAAATTTTATGTTATATAGATTTTACCATAATATTAAAAAAAAAAAAAAAGGCAGGGACCACTGTACCTCAGGGCTCCCAGTCCAGCAAATGGCAGGAGATGGGAGGCACTTTCCTCCTTGCTGCCTGGTCAGCCAACGCATCCCCTCCCAAGCCTCTCCCACACCCAACCTCCTCTGTCCCCTCTGCTCATTATGTGACTCTCAATAGAGCCAGTGCCATCAAGGCTAACAAGTTTCTAGGCCCCGTCTCTGCCACCAGTCCTCCTTCCATGCATCTAAAGAGGGCAGCCCATGTGATCCCAGCCCTGCTGTTCCACATGGCCATGGTGCCCACAGAGAAAAGCCCAAGCCCCTCAGCCTGGAACATGAGGCTCGCCATGCCCTGGCCTCATATGACTTCCCAGGATCCTCTCCCTACACCCTGCCCCCCGCCCACATTCTTGCCACACACAACTCTGCCATTTCTGACCACAAAGCATCTTCCCTTTCTCTGTGTCTTGGCACCTGCTGTTGCCTCCATGAGAGTGTGTTCCTGCCAGTCTCCAGCTGGCAAAACACCATTCATCCTTCCATGTCACACTAAATTCCCCTTCTCCCGGGACACCTTCTTCAGGTGAGGCTCCCCCTATAATGTGTGGCCCTGAGGGGACAGTAAATATTCCCTAAATAGTCTGAATTCACCCCCAGGGAGGTAGTAAGCCTGTCTCCAATTATGGCTTTGCAGTGCTTGGGGAGGCTCATGGGAACAGCCCAGGCAGGGCACTGATGTCCCAGGAGCCTTCTAACTCTCAGATGCCCCACAGGCCCTCAGAGCTCTCGTCTCATTTGCCCTTCTCACAGTACAGTTACTGATGGGAAACTGAGGCCCAGAAGGAATTCAGGCCTGCCCTGGGTAACATCCTTATAACGCTCATAGCAACCCTATAGGACAGAGTAGAACTGCCCCACAGGGTTTCCAAGGAGCACTTGGTGGATTCAAACTGCCAACCTTTTGGTTAGCAGCCGAGCTCTTAACCACTGCACCACCAGGGCTCCCATTATAACACTAGGGGAGGAAAAACATTAATTCTCAGGGGATCAATGGACAGCCTGCCTAGATTCTTTTCTCATTGGGTCCAGCCCCCAACGAGTGGGGATGGTGCAGGGGCAAGAGAAGCTAGGCCTAGAGGCAGACGCTAAGACTTTTGCCCAGGGACGATGAGGTGGAAGACGGGCCTCCTGCCCTGCCTAGGCTCCTTGGGCACCTTCCGGCCTCTGCTCCAGGGAAACCTGGTCTGTCCTCTGTCACAGGCAGAGCTCCAGCCACATCTGGGTCCAAGTGGACCCTTAGTAGGGCTGTAGAGGAAGGTGCCCCTGGCCTGTGTAGCCCCCCAACCCACCCCCAACCCTGCTGCCTCACTCTGCTAAGCCTAGAAACTAGCAGGTTAGCCACAGGGTACAGCCAAACAAGAGCTCACAACCAGCTGACCCCTCAGCTTCCTTCTGTCCATCCTCCAGGGCTAGCTCAGTGCAGAAAGGAGAAGGGAAGATGCTGCCAAAGCTTGAGGACCTACTATGTACCTTTAATGCTCACACCAATCTGGTGAGACAGGTGATCATATCCCCCATTGTGGCAAGGAGGGAGGGTAAGCCAAGGTCTTAAAGCTGGTCAAGGAGCTGAGATTTGGACTGAAGTTGATCTAATGCCAGAACCTAAGCTCTTTCCACCACCAGAATCATCACAGCTACCGGGTTCACTGGGTACCTGGCCCCTGACTCTGTCTGGAGAGTTCCATCCTGGAGCCTGGGACCCAGGGACAGAGATGCTGCCTCCACCTTGCCCAGGGAATCAATGCCAACAATACCCTTGGGTGGCCTGGCCCACATCCTCACTTGGCCCACCTCCCTGCCCACCTGGGGAGGGCAAGTTGGGAGAGGAGCTCAACTTGTTCAGGGAGGGGATGTACATGGGGATGGGGAGTTCCTGGGATCTGCTGACCTGGCAGGGAGGATCCCCAGTCTGGGAAGCAGCCTCCACAGCAATGCTGTACTGTCACTCCAGGACTGTAGGGGTCTCAGGCAAGGGGGTTGCGCCCAATGTGGGCTATCTGCTTTTCCAATCCCTGGTCACCCACCGACCACAGACACACACAACTACCCAGAGTACACACCTTGCCCAGTGCGTAAGAGCATACACTGTGTTTGTGAAGGGCACGCCCATTACAACAGTGTCCCTACACACACGTGCATACAGAACACAAGGAGCCCACTAGAGCTCACTGAAATGTATCACCGCAAACAGTAAATACCAGGTGCTGTACCACAAGGCACACACGCACCCAAGCACACACCAACAGTACTTGTGTGTACACACTTAGAGCACACGACCGACGCCACAGTGGTAACCACACAGCACACACGTGATGACTGCATAGAGACCCCAGGCATTGCCCCCCCGCCCCTCCTCTGCCCTGGCAGCCCCCTTATGTACCCATCTGTCCTGCCCTCTGTGTGGTAGTTGACTCAGTGTCTATCTCTTCCACAGGCTCAGCAGCTCTAGCTCACCAGCCT